GCAGGAGCCCAGCCCCTCCCAGGGAAGGACCAGAGCCCAGGGGCAGAGTAAACCAGCAGCCACTGGTCTGAGCAAAGCGCGGGCTGCTAGGGGGACCAGAAAATGGGCAATCTGACCCATGGGGTACCTTAGGGCGGGAATTTGAAGGATTGAGTGTTAAAATATGGTCCTGCATCACTTATCTTTCCGTTCTAGCACAAGTGAGAGAGAAAAGAGCAAACAGCTCGTGAGAGGCCCCGTGGTTCCTCTCCGTCTGTCCGTCTGTCCGTCTGTCATTAACTGTCCCATCACAGCATGACCTTGAAACCTCCAAGGTCCGCGTGGTGTGATGAAAGAGCAATAGGCTTGAACAAAGAAGGAGAGCAAAGCTTGAACCTTCACTCACACATTTTCTAAGAATGTCACCTTGGGTAGTTTTCGGTGTCTTGGCTTCCACAACTGAAAAACGGGGTTAATAACCTCGACGTAGCTGTGCTGTTACCAGTATGAACGTCACACACACTGAGAAGTGCTCTAAAATGTTCCTCGGCTGCCTCACTTAAATCTAAACCATCCGGTCACTAAATATTACCAAAAAAAAACACCAAAAAATAAAAAAAAAAAAAAAACCCAGTTGAATGACTAGGAAAACATTCCTTAGGGCAGCAAACGGTGTCTGTAAACTTAAAACTTGCCCTCGAACTCACGCCCGCGAGCACGCGAGGTTCTGCCGTGCGGAGGCAGCCTCTTTCCCTTGGCCCCGGGGAGGGCCAAGCCTCAGAAAACTTGGTACTGAAGTCCGGGGACTGAGACACTGTACCTCATCATCGCCGGCTCACTGTGAATGGGGACACACTAAAGACAATTCGGGCCCGGGTTCGCTAAAAATTGTGAGTCATGCCATTCATTCCCTGTACAACTGAACCCGAAAGAACCGCCCTGCCGTCTGGGCGAGAGAGCCTCACGCGACCGCAGGAAGCGCCCCCCCTAAATGGCGTTTTGCAGTTTTCATTCTCCTCCTCCTTGCTTACTTGACCCATCTCACACCATTCAAGCAAATCAAAAGTACGTTCCAAAGGGGCCCGCAAAAATTAAACTTTCACCACTGGGCTTTGTTGCACAGAGACGCACACTGGGCAACGCGACGGCCCCCCTCACACACTGTCCCCCCTCGCAGAGACCCTGAGTACTCCTGAGTCCCAACACTGGAAAAAGCAACGCAACCGCATGTTTACTTTAAAATACTGACAAAGAACTCTGTCAATCTGGACCCAAGGAGTCCGCCCTAATCCTGGCTCCTTTGTTCCACTCCCTGTTGTCACGGCCCACTACACAGAACTTGGCAGGGGACCAGCCACCAATCCATACATGATATCCGATAATTAAAAATACAGGGTTATGTAATCTTATTTAATGGTTGCTTGGCTTGTGTTGAAAACCATCCAAAGCCATACCAAGAGCTGGATTAAATTATAATGCGTAAGACATTTCTGAAGATGGTTTTTAGTAGGAGTCAGCACATCCCCTACTAGCAAATATAATATAAAATATGGAACAGTACTTTCATCTCCAATTAACCTCCTTGGCAAGAAGCTGCAATGTCAATTCAATGTAGAGGCACCTGTGTATATGAGAGGGCGGGGGTGGGGGGAGAGACGGGGAGAAAATAGCAAAGCCTATGTTCTTTGATTTGGTTTTACATCAACTAAACATTACTTATTACTTCTGGTTAGGAAAAGAAAGTATTCACTATTTGGAGGCTGGCAGGGGGAGGGAGGTTGGGGGAGGAGAGCCGGTCATCCTGAGGGAAGATAAAGTCCGTCCCTAAGGCCCGGCATGAAACAGTAAAGGTGGGAACGCCGACCTGCGTCAGCTCAGGAGCCTGTGTCTTGAGGTCGTCCCAGCTCAAGTTTTTACTTGACGATTAGGAGAAGAAAAGTAACTCAGCTAGAAAGTTGATCGGCATTGACAAAGCCTCAATTTTTTAGAAGTGCCAACACCTCACTTACACGTGCTTCATTATCACAAAGCGCTGATTCCTGAAGTGACGCAGTGGTCACGGGACGGCTTCGGGGCCCGGTGCCCCTCGGCCCGCGCGCTGGCATCGGCGGACAGCCCTCCCGAGAGCGTCTGCTCCCTCAAAGAACCGCTGGACACACACAGAGGGGAAAACGTGTTGGAAAATCATGATGAACCAACTGGACGCAAGCGTACTAACTGTATCAATTTCTGCAGGATTTTAAATCAGCATGTGCAAGGAGTTGGTTCCACCCATGTGGCAAAAACAATGACCTTCGAGACAGAAGACCGGGGTTCGACTTAACTCCGCCTCAGCTGCCCACAAGTGGGTGTAGTGGGGTCCCCCGCCTCCTCCCCTGGAAAGTGGTGAAATCAACATCAGCCACCCACCGGGGCGAGCGTGGGGACTGAACAAGAGGCAGGGGGCTTGGAAACCTGCGCGTTCCGGGCACACCCAAGGTAGCATTAGCATTTGGACACGCTCACCGTGAGGTAGGTCTGCGCGTGCCACTCAGCACCAAGATGGAAGATGTGCATCGCAGACCCACCGTCACGGCACAGCTCAGAGCCAGAACCCCGGTTCCAGGATCGGGCTTCAGAACCACCTCTGAAAAGACTGCTTCCTTCCGAGGAGAAGAGCCAGAACCAGAGCTACAGCAGGAGGAAAATGCTCCCCGCGAGCCAGTAACAAGTTGATTATCAGATTCAACAATCAAAGCTTGCTAATAACCATTCCAATTCAAACTCAAGACATTTTTAGAAATGCACGCGTAATTTTGCAGTTACATAACAGCATAATTAATATTTTAAACGACAGGGCTTTGCTTTCTGGATATCAGCCTGTGATTTAAGGGAAAAACCTTTTAGTCTGAAGTAATCTAAATTAACAGTAATAAGAGCATATGAGTAGCTCTTTGCTTCCCTCACATAACTGTTCAATGTGAGAATGTACTTCTTCCAAGAATTACATTTTTAATGGGAAATTAAGGTAATCAGGTTTAACTTTAAAAAAAAAAAAACCCACTAAACAGCCACACTGTCCAATACCTGATTCAAGTAACTGGAAGCCATGAGCAGTAGTAAAAACACAGAAACCAAAAGAACTTTGAATGTATTTAGCAACACAGGAGGATGGCAACACGGCACAGAAAAATAATCCTGACTTTTAAAATAACTCATTAAACTTTCAGTTAAACAGTTTCCTTAACTGAGTACAACATAACCACGACTCAGCTTCTCTAGTCAGAATAATTCACTTGGCTCCACAGTCCAGAGCACTTCTGGCAGCCCTGCCCTCGCACGGCGTGCAGAGACATTTCTTTCACAGAACTGACAGCCCAGCAGGCGACAAAAGGCAGGGAAGGCATCAAGGGCCAGGAGGACGAACCTAGCTGGATGGAGAACTGTGCCCAGGAGCCCTGGCTTCCAGCTCAGACTCCATTCCCCTCATTTAAGAATGCGTGCCTATTACTTTCTCCCAAGCCCTCCTGATCAAAGACGGCGAAATGTGCCTCCAAGGACCAGGGCAGGGCAACGCGCGGCACACCGATTCCTGTTGAACAATTCAAATGCGCTTCAGTTCTAGGAGACAGGGAGTCTCCCTCCGCCGCGGCCACCATCAGTCACCAGGCACTCCGCTCCGAAGAACCGGCTGCATTAGGCAAACACCGGAGGTCACTGTTTTAAAATGCAGATATCTGTATACAAATAGACTACATCTGCTCATCTTTCACTTTCAACAATGGAAGAGCCAGGGCCAGCGCTGAGACCAGCAAACCGGATTCATCTCGGGAACTACAGACTGTCGCTGCAGAGTGATCCACGCCAAAGGGAACAGACCTGACGGGATAAGGCGCCTGCCGTCCCCTGAGGGAAAGCAGACCACCGGCCCCCAAACCCGTCTTATCTGAAACACATCTTCAGGAGGAGCGGAGAACTGCTCCAGGGAAGGAAGACTTCATTTACCTTCCATCCCGGCAGGGTCCTCGGGCGCTGGAGGAACGAGCCAGGGAATGTCGTCCCGGGTGGGCACCCCTCTGTCAGCCCCTGTACCTGTGTCCTGTGCCTCCCCGGAGGCTCGCACCCTGAGTTAGCTAGAGTAGCGCTAAAATGGCACCGGCAGCTAAGACTCCTTGGCCAGTGTTCTGAGTCAGCCACCAGGGAGGGTCACCTAGCCAGCTCTTCCCAAAATCAGGACAGGAGAGCTGAGGGGGACTCTTGGCCCGGCCTCTTCCCCCCGCCTGCCCCCTCCACGAGCCAGCCTCAAGCAGGGCTTGTCCGGACTCGCTCACCCCCAGGGAAGGCAGGCTGCCATCCCCCCAATCCCCCACCAGGGCTACTAGAGCCTAGACCTGGGAGAAATAACAGGGATGAGACAAGAAACTGGGCTCTGCCCCTCGAACCAATGGGTCCTTCTCTAAAATGCTTGGGGTCTGCCCCCAAAGCTCCTCCAAGGTCCTCAAACTTCGCTAACAATCCAAGCACCTGTTCCCTTCACCTCTTCTGCATCTGATCCCCTCAAATCCTTCCATTTTCCTCCAGTTGTTTCTCCAGTTCCTTAGGCAAACCGAACAACACGAGTTCCCCGAGCCCCCCTCACTCTCCTCTTCCAAAGACAAAATTCAACCCCCCACCCCAGCACAGCTCCCAGATGTTCTCCGTCCCCCACCCATAAGTTTCCCCTGGGTATCCTCCGAGTCCCCAAGAATTGCCTTCAAGTCTCATCCGAACGCCCAGCCTTCTCTTTTCTTCCTAAGTCTCCCAAATTCACATCTCGGGCTTCCCCCAGGTGTCCCATATTCTCCCAGCTCCCCACCAAAATGCCCCCAGATTGCTACCTGGGCACCCCAGATCTCTCCGAGGTCTATTTCCAGCCAGCCCCTCAAGCCCCCACATTCCTGCTTGGTCCCGACCCTCCCCTGTTCCCGAGCCCCCGGGACGCCACTCCCCCGGCCCCCAAGGGCCGCGGGCGACATTTATGGGCCAGCGGCGCACGCCCTCACCTTGGTTCACCAGCCGCAGAGCGTGTGTGAAGGAGGGGTCCAGGGAGTCCTTCTCCGCCATCAGCTCAGGCAGGTACTTCTCCTCCATGCTCGCCGGCCGCCCGGGCCCGGGACGCGGACTCGAGGCGGGCGGGTAGCAACGGCCCCGCAAACCCCGACCGCGCCGCGGAACCCGGGCCGGACGCCGCGGCCGAGCCAAGCCGGGCACTCGGCCCGGCGGCGGCGGCACGGGGCGGGAACCGGCCGCGCAGTCCCGGTCCCCGGGGGTGGCCGCCCGCCTAGTGCCCCGCGCTGGCGGCCGCTCTTCCCGGACGCGGCCCCGCGCTCCCGCACTGGGCGCAGGGGAAGCAGGCGCGGGTGGGCGCGATCAGGAGGGCCCTCGGGCGGGCGGCGCGCTCGGCGAGCTTCAGACAGCCCTGGGCGAGCCCCGCCAGCCGCCGGCGCCGGCGCCCAGCTCAGCCGCGACCCGCACGCCGCGCGCCGCCCCGCGCTCTCTGAGCCGCCGCGCCGAGCGCCCGGTCCCGCCCCCCCGCCGGCCCCGCCCCGCCCCGCCAGCCCCGCACGCTGCGCCTGCGCGCTGAGCCCCCTCCCCGCGCCCCGGGCTCCGCGCCCCACTGCTCCGCCGCTGCTGCCGCCGCAGCCGCAGCCGCCGCCGCCGCCGCCGGATGGGGCCGCTCCGGCCGCGCTAACAGCCCGCAGGGAGGGGACGTCCTGGGCGCCTTTCGCCGGCCCCCGCTCTCTCCTCCAGTCCTGGGGGGCGCCCCGCGCTGCTGTTACAACATCGCCACTCTCAGAGACCGGTCAACCGAGGCCCAGAGAGGGCGAGCGGCTGGTCCAAGGTCACCCAGCGAGCAATCCCGAAGGGAGAGCTGCACGTTCACCCTCACCCCCCGGTCAGGGGCCAGCCCTGGAGTGAGGACAGAGAGCAGGGCTCGAGGTCGCCCCAGCGCGAACTGGGGAAAGGCCACCGGCGAGCCTCCCTGCTCTTTAAGGCTCCCAGGACTTGCCTAACTTATTTCTCTTTGCCGTCCCCTGCTATTTGCAAGGAAATAACGTGGGTACGCTGTCCTTCCTCGGCGCTGCCCTTGGAGCGCCACCCCCAGACCCCAGGTGCCAAAGTCGATTACATAAAAACGCGTGCCCTTCAGGGCGTCTTTGCCATCCCCAGTTGCCACCGACCGGGTTGTCATTCCCTTCTCCATAAGCCGGTGGTGCCTGGATGCGGAGGAGGCCACGGTGCTAGTGCCGGTCCCCTGCGTGGGGAGAGTCCCTTGGATGCACATGGGTACTGATGTCCTTTGTCCCTCTCTGCCCCCTGCCCAACAAACCCTCCCCTGGGCCAGATTTTTCAGATTTTTCAAGCTTGTGGAGTGACCCACCCCCCAGCAGGCCAAGGACTCCAGTCAGCCCTGTCTTACCCCGCCAAACCCCCAAATCATGTTCTGGCCTCAATGTCGCCTTCCTTGGACAGCCTCCCAAGACCACCAGCCCCCTCTCCCGACCCCTGCAAAGCCTGTCACCGTCCTGACTTCCCCGCAGGGCTGGTCAGCCCTCCCAGAGGGCTGTAATTCCGTTTCCATTGGACCGTGGGCATCTCATGGGCAGGGCTAAGTTTTGTTTGTGGGGTGGAGCTGCCTGGGTGAACCTTCCTCCCAGTCCCCCAGGCAACGCCCTGTACTTGGATGCAAACAGAGGCCCCAGATGCTCCGAGTGGAAATCAAAGCTGCTATGAGTCCCAGCCACCACTACCCCACTGTCCCAACTCTCAAACACCCTATCCCCTGCTCCACCCCTGGAGTGCCTGGCCCCCACCTAAGGTGCCCTTGCAGAGTCCCCAGTAAGAATGTTCTCCATGTCTCCCTTTAGTTTCAACTTGCAAGAACCAGTCAAATGAGAAAGTTAAACATGTGGCCTCCAGGCCCCAACGGCCTGGATATGGAACGATGGCTCTGCCGCTCCACCAGCTATGTGTCTAGGGGAAGTCACCTCTCTGTGCCTCCCCTTCCTCAGCTGTAAAGTGGAGATGGCAACAGATCCTATTTCACAAGAGAGCCGTGAAGACTGAACACATCGACTCCTAATGAGATCCCCCAATCAGTCTCCAGCACATAGGACATGCTTGATGGTCTTTGTTGGTGGGGTTCCTCCCTGCATCGCTGCTCTCCGGGCCCCCCGATCCTCTCCTCCTCAGCTGTAGCTCCCACCCTGTGGGGTCCTCACTGCTGGACAGTCTGCATTGCCCAGCAGACTGAGTGAAGGGCCTGGGACAAGACGGCTCTGTTCCTAACCTGGGGCCCACAGGGGGGCTGCCAGGGCAACCACAAGGGCCCCAGCTCCTCCCTGACCCACGTGCAACCCCAGCTACGTAAGCTGCCTGAGCTTCGAAGGCATATCTGCAGATCCTGGGATACACCGGCACTCCTCGGGGGCAGGTGCAAGGAACCCCCAGGGAAGCATTTTCTCTGTAATATCAGAGAGGCGTGTGCATGCCTCAGGCTTACATTCCTCAATCGTGGGACTTGCCTTCTAAAGTTTGAGTCCCTGACAGCTGCTTGCAAAGGGAGGAAGGGCAAAGGACGAGCCCCAGGAGGGGCGAAGGGGGACCAGAGGCTCAGCTGCCCCCTCACCGCCTTCTATCCCAGCGGCAGTCCGAACCGTGAGAAATCGGTGTTTTTTATTAAGCATTTACTAGGTGCCAGGCACGATGCCAGCTGCTAGGCATTCACTGTTTTTAAGTTTCCTCCATGCCCTGCAGGGAAGATACTATTCATCACCACTTACCCAAGAGGAGGCGGAGGCGCGAAGCAGTTTGGCACTCTGCTGAAGTCCCACAGCTGTCAGCACGGGGCCCATGCCTGGGGACTCACACTCCCCCCTCCTCCCCTGTCCTGCCTTCCCAGGTAGCAAGCAATCTGTGACACTCCTGGCTGTCTCCATCCCTCCTCCCGCATCTGAACAGTTGGCAGAGACATCTCGCCAGCAGCTGCAGGGGAGGGTCCTGCACCAGGAAGCCAACATCAAGGGCACTGAATCTTCTGCTCTGACCCTCCTTCCTGCAGAACCTTCCAAGAGGGCAGGTGCCCAGCACTGTGAGCGCCCGTGTGCGGCCCTCCGGGGAGGAAGGAGATGAACGTCTCTGTGAGAAGCTCAGGAAATTGTCCCCACCCACCAACCTGGCAGAGCCGCTGCTGGCGGGGCTCCTCCACGCCGTGCTGCATGCAGACTCTGCTGGTCTTCACAAGGCGGCCATCCTGGGGTCCCTAACGCTCCGGTCCCTTTGAAAATGAGAAAACTGGGTTGGGAAAGGTTGGCGTGTTCCTCCCAGCGGCCACAGGTAGGCGTCCCACTCTGGTCTCCTGACTTCCAGGCCGGAGGTCCCCCAGGCACACACTGGTACTCTGGAGCACTGACGGCGGACGTGCGTGCAGGGCCCGCTCGGGGGACAAAGCCGACCTCTCCAAGCCACTGCAGCCCAGGGCCGCTGGGGTCGCTGACTCCCCCGCGCGGTTTGCGCCTGCCGCGGACCGGAGGCCCCGAGCTGCAGGAAGAAGCTGGCTGCCATTGCCCTTCAGGCCCACAGATCATCCCAGGAACGGAGCAGTTTCCCAAAGCAACCTCGCCCAGGCCGCGGCCCCGAGAGCCAGTCTCACCAGTCCCGGCCGAGCGCGACCACGGCACTGCCAGGAGCACTGCCCACGCGCGCAGCGGACCTTGCGGACGCTGACTGCAGTCGGCCAGACCCAGTGTCATCCAAGGATACACACAGGTCGCTGGGGCAGGAAGGGGGGTTGGGGGAGCCTGGACGGTGGCAGTGGTCACGTTCGTACCAGGTGGCCGCTGATACCACAAGCTTCCTCTTTCTTTTGTTTAGAAAGGTGAGCCCCATCCCCTCAGCAAAAGAAACTTAAGCCTCGTCCCAGTTACCCTGACTCTGCAGTGCCCTGGGCGGAGAAGTCCAGATCCAAGTGCACTGAGGCCAGGGGGGCCTCCGCTGCGCCCCGCTGTCCTGCAGACCGGCCGTGTGACCTCAGAGGCCCGAGGCCTCTGCGAACCAGGAGCGGACAATACCTGCCACTTCCTAGGGCCCTTGCACAGCCTCAGCTGAAGTGCTGAGCTCATCCCGGGCACGAAGGGATGCATTTAAAGCCTTTGCTGCCCCCGCGCCCTCCTCCCTCTCCACTAGCACGTTCCACACTTAACCCGTGTGCCGGGCACCCATGGACCCCTCTGCCCCCATGATGTCCCCAGAGCCTGCTCACCTGCACAGCCCCCGTACCAGTCAGGCGGCCAGTTCCTGGCAAGCGCTGGGCAGCCCACGTTCAAGTTCGCTTCCCCCGAGAGGCAGTCTCCTAACAGTGCTGCATCCCAGCTACCCGAGACAAATGAGTTTGTCATGCAAGGCAAGCACCCAAAGGTGGCCCAGCCACACCTGGAAATCAGTCATTCCGTGTCTGGGAGACCGACCCAGAGGAGGATGTCTGCTTCCGTCCCAGCCCCACCCCCCACGTCTGTCACAGCGGGAAAAGCGTTGTCAAGCCTTGAGTACGACTGAAAAGACTTAACCCAGGGAGGAAGACGTGGGGAAAGTCCCCAGAGCCAGGTCCTCGCTGAGGACCTGCTGGCCTGTTGGCCTTTCTGTTCTGTTTTACTGAACCGACCTCCCCAGGCTGCCTGCCTTCAATGACTTACAGCTGGAAGGAACTGCCGAGCGCAGCTAGCTCAGAAGTCACTCGTTTTTAGAGGGGGTCATTTAAGAAACCCAAAGCTAACAGCTGGACAATCGCATACACACACACGCACACCCCACCCATGTCTAAGGATGGATGAAATCAGACCTTCCAGCCCTGTCACGCACATACCTAAGGACCCCTGTCCTGTCTCTGTACCCATGCTCCCTACAAGGCTGTTCCCTCTGGCTGGGCCGTGGGCGGGAGCTCCAGGCCCTCCAGCCATCTCTCTTCCTTCACCTGGAAGGGAGCCCTGCTGGTACTAGCAGCAGCAGCTAATGAAACCACAGACATTGCGCACGCACCCCCTCGTGGCCAAGTGTGGAAGCACATGCCCCCGAAAGTTCGTGTTGAGCCAAATTAATAACCGCTTGGGTTGGACCTGGTCTCCCC